TGTCGTCTTCATGAGCTTCCTCCACTTTGTGTTGAACGTGACATCTTCGCTCGGCTGTATCGCACTCAGCACGCAGTTAATCACGTGTAGCTGCGCAAGCTCCCCAACGCCATGGTCAGAGCCAGTCATCTTTAACGTCAATACGCTGTTAAACGCCAAAGGCGAGTCCACTGCCTTCTTGATGATATGATCTGGATTTGTGACGGTGTCAATGAGTTTGGTTATTCCGTCAACTTGAGAGTCTGCTCGAGCAAGACAGTCTGGAAGAATATTGAGCAGTGCTGTGTTTTCATCGTTTAACATCGACTCAGACACTTCCAAGATTGGAGACGCTTTTGACGCTTTTCTATCTTTGTGTGGTGCTTTTCGACGAAGAATGCTGATTCAGTCGATGTACTAAGCTCCTCTGGACGCTTCACATCAACAGGAACAACTTGGTATCGAGGACCGAACTTCTTGTCCGCGACAACATTCTTTGCTTCGAAGGATACCTCCATAGACTGCAGCACCTGGAAGTAATTGGCTGTGGCATCACCACCCAGAAGCTGTGGTCGCTATTTCACGAGCATGTTGGATAATCGATCTCGTTTCTTGAGCGCTTCTTCTTGTTTGTCACGGTGGAAAAGTCATCCTTTTCATTTGTCAGAAGGAACATTGGAGGTTTATTTTGTGGACTGGGACTTCCAGGTGGAGTTATCTTGCCATGGAAACGTCAAATGTGACAATTGAGAGTACGTCAGAATTTTATCTTGGCTTGGTCAGTTGTAGTTCAACCGACGAAATACCATGCTGAGCTCTCTGTTGGGGCTGCGCTTCTCGTGTTCTTCTCTCCACTATTGCCATTTGCAACGAGGTTTGTATCGACTCCGCACGTGTAACCTGAGCATAGGTCTGTGGTGTTTGCTGTCGTTGTTGCTGAGATTGCTCAGAAGCTGGGTTTTTGGAGGGAAACTTACTGTCTACAGTCCCAAGATCGATCCTATGGTGCGAGCGATAACCATATGGATGACGGTCGGAACGGAAGGGAGCATTCTTGCCGTGTGCCGGATGAAGTTTGTTGTCAAACAGCACTTGGTCACACACAGCTCCGTTCACCATGAACGCGATTGGACATGAGCTGGACAAGAAGTAAACTCTCCATGTTGCCGATGTTATCCCAGTCGAAAGGTTCACCTA